ATATTTATATCATACTTGGTTGTTTGATTGCTCTGAAATAAGAATGCTTTGGTAAAGTGTTTGTCTTGTATATATAGATTCAATCATAGCATTTATGTATGATTTGTATACACGCAGTTACTTGCATATCTGTGTGCATGCGAAGGAAACATTTTAAAATCACCCGCCTGAACATAGCTGTGTTATGCGACCCGTTTTACCATCGTATATATTGATGGATGTTTATATTCTTTGGACATTCTCGATAAGTGTAGGGAGATGGAAAACATTTGCATTCAAGTAGCTGTAGTACATGATTCAGGTATGAGACTTTACAAAACAATGAATTAACTAAACGATAACTGATGATACCCTCGCAGGTCAATTTCACAACAGCCCTGGCTGCCGCTTTCAAAAGCAAAAACGATGATGCCACTGCCTTGCTGGAAGAGAGATTGGTATGTGTGTATGTACGTACATTCCTGTCACGCTCGCGTCAATTTGACCCTTAAAAATACATTGATACGTATTGTTTGAGTGCGCTAAAACAATCTTAGGTTTACATACACATACGCAACCCTATTTTTTAATTGTATATATACAAGAAATTGAATATAATAAGTACAACGTGTCCGCGCACATACACACTATTCGCTCGAGTATGATTAACATCACACATGGGCTCACGCCCACACCTGCACCTCCATGCAGCTGGATGTGATCTGGACGCTAGACCATCATTTGGCCCCGGACGATGATCAGGAAACTTTCTCGGAACAGCGCACTCGTCTGGTTTCTGTGGTGAGCGACTTGAAGGATTTGGGAGTCCTAACTGAATCCAGAATGAAGAGTCGATTGGAAACGGGCTTGCTGGTCAAGACCGGAACTGTGCCAAATGTTGTTTATTTTTCGAAGTCAATTCGGATTGCACGCACAAAGGTGAGCTGGATGTATGTACGGCATTGTTTGTACTCAAGCTTATGTGACATCAAATTGAAAATCCCCTTTTGTTTTTTTGTTTTTTGGCTTTTTGGCTTTTTTGTGTTTTTTTTTTTACGAAGTATGGAATGTAAGCTTCATAACAATAGGAATCGATTCAACCCTGGAGATTTCTGGTTTCTGCTTTACGCCCTTTTTCGGCTCTATGCCTTGATGTTCTGGTCGTAGGTCTGGTTGGTTGAATATTTGTTACTGTTCTGAGGAGTGAGTGTGCCTCAATCAGTCCTATCTGTTCACTGGCAGAGTGTGAACTCGGGGCGTGGCTGTGGGTTAACTTTTATACCCCCCTGAGCTTGAGTTTGTCCCTCTTTGGCGTGATTTTAGCTGCGTGTTTGTATGTGTTTTTTTTTGTACATAATTGTTTATGCCAGCTGTGTTTTATTTCGGTCTACGTTCGGTGTGTGTCCCTGACCAATCTATAAATCTTTGATAACACTACAGATGTTTTACAAGCAGAACAAGTATAATCTGTGCCGAGAGGTCGCCGAGGGCTATAGTCGTCTGGTGGATGAGCTCATACCGGTATGTTTAAGTATAAGTGTGTAGCTTTCAGGTATTCTCGCGCACATGACGCGCACTTTTGCTATGGAAGGAACGTGTATGGTACCGTGTTGCTTATTTCAAAGAGGTGTATGATGTCACTAGCCGAAACAAGCACAATTGGCTGTGAACAGCAGGTGTGGCAGTTTGGGCTCTCACCTGGTTCGACTGTTCAATTGTATCTCACTTCTGTTATCAGGGTGTGGCCGACGGCAATGTCCAGAAACAAGCACAGGTGACTGTGAACAACATCCACAAGATCATCGGATTCTTCAGTCTAGACCCCAACCGCGTGGTGGAAGTCATCTTCAGTTGTTTCGAGGAATTGGTGGATGACGAGGCGTACTCCAAGTTCTATCTGGAGATTATCACCGTGTTCAACGCCACCAAAGACACCTTGACCGCCCTACTGGGCTTCAGGTATGCGCATGCCAAAGTCCTATACGCTATTCGTACAATAAGGTTTGGGTATGGATGGCTGTGAAATAGTTAAGTTGTCAACGTTTACTTATTGCAAACGACATAATTCAGGGCTATGCTATAGCACACTATTCAGGTCGCCTTGTGTTATATTTTCCAAAGGGTCACATGCCAGCGCAGCCCGCTATCATCCTTTTATTCACAACGATGCGGATGAGGTTTGTCTATCACTTTGGCTCAATTATTTTTATAGGTCTTCCATGGTGGTATATGTTTACACTGAACATTTCTACTTGTAAATACGTTATGGTACATATATATATATATGTATAATACATGTCTACTCTGAACATTTCTAAAGCACAGTTTGAAAACACGTTGTGGTACGTACATATATGCATTGTACATGTCTACTCTGAACATTATAAGGCAAAGCTTGTAAACACGTTCTTCCATTCGAAACTTCATCTGGTTATGCGAAGCACTCATTGCCAGCACACATCAAGAAGTCCCCTCCTGAATATAACGCTGACGATACCTAGATACTGTAATCAATCTATTAGTCTCTCATTGATTATTGTGATTTCTTACGCACAGATTCAAGTCAGTACAAACGGCCATTGCCGAGCTGGTGATTGATGAGAAGACTCCTGTGCCCGCAGAAGGACTCACTCCTCGCAATCTGTATCGAATTGCTGCACTGATGGTGAAGCATGATCTGGTGGATATGATCAGGTGCGTATAAGATTTGATTACATTTAAAATATAAAAAGTCTTGACGTTGCACTAGCACTAACAGTATCAGGTGTTACGCCCTGTATACCTGCAGATTTAAATAACTGCGATAAATTATATTAGCGTCTGGTGCGTTTATGGCAATCAGACTACTGACTTTTGCTCGCATGCATTGCCGCGCTCATTCGTTGCCTTCAGGTTGTGGGACTTTCTTATCCCCGAGGACAAATCTATGGTAGAGGTGCAGAAAGAACGCCGAGAGACTATGATGAAAGCATCCGCCCAGGTATCGTATACAACGTGCGAGTCTTGTGTTCATTAGACTATTGTATTCCGCGTAGTATGTGTCTGGTTCTTGTTGTTGCTGTAGCGTTCCATGATGTAGTGCAGGGGCGTATATTGCGGTCTGGGGGTGATTGTGTGCCTTGTTATAGTCCTCGAATATCTGCTGTGTATACTTTTGTAAAGCACATCAGCGTGCAATCATGTGCGGGTCAAGTGACCTTTCTGCCATAGATGTTTTATCAGTTTTTTATAGATGAAGATGTCTACAGGAGTTGTGATAAGGGGTATGTGGCGGCGTGTGTTAAACAATCATCTACAATGATGTACTGATAAGTTGTATGTTATATGTACGTATGTGAGCTTATGATAGTCTATCATGTTGGGTGGTGTCCGGGTGGTGTACTTGTGCATCGTTCAGTGGGTCTCAAGCAGAGTGTGATATGCACTGGATGTGAGACATGCTAGTGTCAGCTAACGCCTTAAACGGGGAGAAAGGAGGCTGGCTGTGTGCGCTCAATGGAATACCTCCCCTAGTATAAAGATTCTTACATCCTCTCGTTTGGCTACATAATGCAAACTGTACTTTCATAGGCTCATATATGTACTTGCGAATTCGTATACACGCATAGACACATCTACAGCTTTTGTATCTGTTCGCACCCATTCATGATTCAATAACTGTCATCTCCCACAGATATTGGTTATTGACCTGAGCAGAACTGGCGGAGATGAAGACTACAATATTGAAGTAGCGAAACGACAGGATTTGGATGACTATAAGCGTCAAACGAAACGGAAAGATATCATCTACTACCGCAACAACCAGAAACTAAACTTTATACACCATATGATAGTAGTCCAGGTAATGCGTCCCTACTTGTTGGCCCCAGCTCTTTATGTATATTTTCTGCACTGATGTGCACTTACATTGTAAGTGTATGAAGATATGTAACTATTATACGGCTATATGTGCATATACGTATCACGTGAGAACTATATACACACTTAAATCGCTCATATGAGTGCGTATCTTTTCGGTCGTATCGTAAAGAAAATTTAATACAAATACTTAAAATTATTGATTGTGTATATTGACCCACTTCATGAAACAGGACATGCGGTCATTCTCGCGATTGCTGACGCGTGTGCCTCTGGAGTTGTTGACTTCCTCGCCAGAAACTATCGATGCACTTTTGAAACTACTGCACGTCGCGATAGAGCCCATCTACAGACCACTGCAGCACTCCTGGATGCAAAAGGTGTGTGCCCCACGTACCATCCGTACATTCTGTCAAGTTAAGTTATTGTATTCGTATTCAAAGCATCAACCAGTTAGATTCGATTGTTGAAAGGCAAGATAGCATTCTCCTATAAAATAGATGGGTTTGCATTTCATATAGCAATAGACCATGTGGAGTGCCCATCAGGAGCTGCTTCTACCTGCCAATGTGTAATGTTAAACCAAGTCGTGAGGCGAAGCGGGGGCGCGTGCTTCCTGTACCCATAATGACTATATCTATACTTCAGTCTTTATCATATATTGAGTATACTGTGAGTGATCGAATCCATCCATACTCTGACAGTCTCCTCTGTAAACAGTTAAACCTCACCCACTCCCGCGACACAACTATTTCGTATCAGTCGATGAAGAACGCGCACGTGGCCGCACTATACAAAGGCGTCGTGCGATTGCAGAAAGAAGGAAAGGGTATTGCCGTGTGCAGGAAACTGACAGACCTGCTGGACCACGTGTACCCCATCCTCGCACGCATTGGCTGTCACGTGTACACAGATGTCCTGTTCATCACCAAACTAGCACGGCTAACCAAGAGGGTGTATGAGGTGTACGCCGATAGCGTGGACGAGAAGGCGAAACACGATGCGGAGTATGTAGCTCCCACGCAAGCGGAGAAGGACAGGTTGGAGGCACTCTGGACTGAGACCAGGAATATTCTTACGCGGGTAGGTGTACTCCTGCGTGTGCTTGTGTATTGTGGCCTCAAGTGAAGGTACATGCGCAAAGATATGCCATTATATATATATGCATGCATCGCTCTACCTACTAGTTTACATTTGCATATAGTTGTATTCGCACTTTTAATAATACTTATATTCATATTCTTATACTTTTTACTTGTACAGGATATATATATCTATATACATATATATATATATTTCTTTTTGTATTTATATTTATGTAGTGAACCTATGGTACACACTGTTTACTATGAAGGGAACTAAGCTAGTTGGTTAAGCCTCGCTAGAACCAATGTACAAAAGAGTGAACCCTTGGGTCAGCTTGGTGGTCTTAACCAGGAGTCTCAGACTTCTGGTTCGGAGTAACATGTGGGTCGGTGTCCTAAGCCCCTCGGTGATAGGACCGTCCACTGCCCTGACTATAGGACTGGCTGTCCTAGTTCTACTGTGACCGTCCGCTACTACATTAATAGTATATATATATATATACGTTTGCATATACGTAAGGTGTATCATGTATATGTACAAGATACTTGCACATTTGCAAATGTGTACATAAAATGATACAAACACGCGGGTAGATCAACATGTAAGCATAGTTGCAGACATACTCATCCTTCCTACACGTTGTGTTGCGGTGCCTGCTGTCCAGGTTGTACTATCGTCCATGTCGTTGAAACCCGGCAACCCTGGGCTCAACGAGGAAGTGTATGCCGTCGTCAGTAAACTGCCCTACGAAACACGCTACACAATATACGCGTCGTGGCTGGATATGTACACTGTCACTCCACTCTTGTTGCAACAAAAGAACTGGTGCATCTTCGAGGCACGCAGAGCGCTCAAAAGACTAACGAAGGAGAACCCCAATGAGACGGGCAGAGTGCTGTGTAAGATCGCGCACAGTAACCCGTTTACGGTGTTCCATGAGGTGATGGACAAAGTTTCGGTATGTATCGAGGTCACCATTATTATGTGTTTAATTCGTTTGCAGTTGCCATATCTACATATATATCTTTATATCTACATATCGATATATAAATTTATATAATGCATGTATATATATATCTGTGTATGAAGTACGATACTTGGATATATAATTTAAAATTCACAGAGTCTCTATACAGATACCACATATCCATCATTTTGGGGACGACACACAGCATTAACCTGTAGTGTACGATCACCCTATTTACTTCACAAAATGTCCTTGTTGTTCCCGTTTTTTTTTATTACCCATATTAACTTATCACAACTTCTCTTTTTGTGACATCACTTCCTGTCAGTCGTACACAAACTTCATTGAACCGCTGATTGAGGGGTTCAGCACACTCACAGACCTGGATAAGGACATCTTGACATTCTGTGTCATCGTCCACTTCCGCGATACGCGCAAGAAACGAATGGAGGTGTGTCTGAAGCGCATCCATGTTCGTGTTTCAATATAGTTGCGAGTGTGTGTGGTTGCGTATGCTTATCTGTCGTCACTATTGTGCAAGTACTAGGTGGTGCACGATCTTCCGATTGGCGGATGAAGCACTTTAGCCTACACAGGCGAGTTAGTTCCACTTTAGCCTACGTCAATTCGGGTGCCTTGAGTGCGTGAGATGGTTGTGAAGGTGTGCGAGTACGTGGTTTGGGCGGGTACTTCCGTGTGCTGTAGTTGACTGTCTCCTCTATCTCTCGCTCTCTGTAACTTTCTGTGACGGTGTCGTGACTACATCGCGTGCAATGCTTATGACAATTGTAAGTGAAGTGGTGTACGTACTTAGCTCTCGTCTTTTGATAAAATCGTCTTTTGATGAAATTTTAGATACGACTCCTACAATCAATTTGACATACTTTGGAGATCTCGTTTATGGCCTCGTTTCAACAGCATAGCCATGCGTGTTTAATTTACCCTTCGTACTTGATTCTGGTACGTTACGTTTATCGTTCGTGAATCCTCATCAGCTCCTCACTAGTACATCAGTGCATTGCAAAATTCATCCCACACACCAAAATTCATCCACATGACGTATGGATCGGCAGGTGATGATGCCTGCGCTCAAAGCCATCTCGACATTCTGTGGCATGCTCTACAACCGCATGTGGGCTACGGATTTCTCGTCCCTGCTATACTACGTGGCTGGGCAATTATCCAGGAATGACGTGCTCGATCTGGGCCTGCTGAAAGCCCTCACGGAACACATGGCGGGTGTGGAGAGCACTGACAACCTCAACGAGGAACAGATGGAATGCCAATGCGGCGGTCTACGTCTACGAATAGAGGGGGGCACGTGGATCAAGCAAGACTCGTCCCAGCTGCGCTTGGTAGGTAAACCGACGGTACGGCTGCTAGAGGAGCTGTCGCACACGGGGTTGGTGATGCCTCTGATTCTGCTGATTGAGGCCAGAAAACGCGATCTGCTGCAGCTCAAGGAACCTGCCGAGAAAAAACGGCGCATAAACGATGAGAAGAGTATGTCAAATTAGAAGAGTGGGCTAAATAGCGATAAGAGGGTTAATGAATTGAAGAGCAGGCTAAGTGATCGTGTGTGGGCTATGCGTTTTCTTCACCTATACATCCCTGTGCATCTACGCAGTACATGCGCTTTCTATCCGCGCACTTACAAATGCAGACTTCTTACTCCCCGCCATTTCGATTGCATGTGTTGTCTCTCATTGTACACAGCTGCGGCCGACCTGTACGACATCTGCCATGACTCACTGCTGCAACTGATTGAGCTGCTGCAGCGATACCTACCAGACACTGAATACGACGCCATCATCCCTTCCTTTGAAACACTGGCTGTTGAACACGGTCTGAGCATGGAGGTGGCCTTCCTGCTCCACCGTCCTAGGATTGCCCGTGAGGTGCGGTCCACGTGTTGTCGACTTATATACTTATGCATGCATACGTGTGTGAGAGAGTATGTGTGTTTGTGTGAATTGATATTAAGATATTGCATGAGCGCTGACACTAAGTTTGCGACTGCTGACTCTTCTATGTGCCCCTATAAATTGATTATATGTACGGCTATACCTCGCGAATTCCCAAATTGTATCGCCTTACCCTTTGTATTTCATTAGTACAAGAATCCAGTGCAGCAGTGTGTATTTAATTCATAGAAACTGGTCTTGAATACTAATCTTACTCCATCAATGTAAATTATTGGGTACACATTTGAAAGTATATCTCTATTGCGCTCGAGTGTCTCCTTCTCTATTCTCATATACTACGCATTCATCGGCAGATCGGCAAGCGTTTACTGATACTGGCCAACGGAGAGACAAATTCCACCAAACTGATGGTATTCAACGCCCAAGCCTTCGAGGAGGTACGTGTGCGTATACACCTACTGATTGTGTGGTAGTTCAGTCGTTTATATACACCTACTGATTGTGTGGTCGTTTAGTTGTGTATATAATACACCTACTGATTGTGTGGTAATTCAGTCGTTTATATACACCTACTGATTGTGTAGTAGTTCAGTCGTTTATATACACCGACTGATTGTGTTGTAGTTTAGTTGTGTATATAATACACCTGCTGATTGTGTGGTAGTTCAGTCGTTTATATACACCTACTGATTGTGTGGTAGTTCAGTCGTTAATATACACCTACTGATTGTGTGGTAGTTCAGTCGTTTATATACTCCTACTGATTGTGTGGTAGTTCAGTCGTTTATATACACCTACTGATTGTGTGGTAGTTCAGTCGTTTAATTACACCTAATGATTGTGTGGTAGTTCAGTCGTTTAGATACATCTACTGATTGTGTGGTAGTTCAGTCGTTTATATACACCTACTGATTGTGTGGTAGTTCAGTCGTTTAAATACACCTAATGATTGTGTAGTAGTTCAGTCGTTTAGATACATCTACTGATTGTGTGGTAGTTCAGTCGTTTATATACACCTACTGATTGTGTGGTAGTTCAGTCGTTTATATACACCGACTGATTGTTTGGTAGTTTAGTTGTGTATATAATACACCTGCTGATTGTGTGGTAGTTCAGTCGTTTATATACACCTACTGATTGTGTGGTAGTTCAGTCGTTTATATACACCTAATGATTGTGTGGTAGTTCAGTCGTTGCTGCGTATATGTTATGATTTGATATTCCGAGTACTCGCCAAAGAGCGTGCGGCGAATGAAATTCTTCACCGTGGAGCTTGTAGGCTAGATATTCAAATTTGTGTATTTCGAACGGGGTTGCTTGCGCGCATACTTGTCTATACACTGGGCCTGAAAGTGTAAGTGCACAATTATATGCAATTTATTTCGGACGAGAGTACATAAAAGATGTGAATTAATTATACAAATGGTAGGTATATACAACTCACTCCTCGACGAATATCACGTGTCCTCAGATTACTGAGCCATACGCAGCTCTGATTGAAAAGCAGTACCCCGATCAATGGGAACACATCACTCCGCGGCTGTACGTGTCGTTCTGGGCAATGAGTCAATATGATCTCAAGGTGCCTACAGCCGCCTATGAGAAGATCATCAAGAAGATGAAGGAATCACTCAGTGACCCCTTCTCAGATGAGATCAAGAAGGAGTACTCGCAGATGGCGAGGGTAAGTAGGAAGTATCATTACAAGGAGGGTTGGCGCTTGTATGTATCGGATTGCTTGTGTAAACATGTGTTAGAATGTTGCTGTTACACATATAGCCGTGAAATACCGAATATTTATATTTGTACTTATATTCATACAATTAGATAGGCGTGTGGAAATTACCAGCTTGTATGAGCTGATACTTTTTACATTCATGTATACTCATAATTCCAATGTCAGTACATCTGGATGTATGTTCGACAGTTTTGTAAAGGATAGGATAGGACGGGACACCTCCCCGGGTTCCGGGGAGGGACCCCCTTGTGGATTAGTAGACTTATAGTCTCTTGTACTTAGTTCGATACAGTTGTACATTTATCAATACAAATTTTCTGAATTCGAATTATTGTATGGTGCACAACCGTCAAACCAAATCTAGCGTGTCACATCCGTGTAAGTTTACTATTCACAATAGCATTATTACTTGAGCGAGTTTTGACCTTTCTTTGGCGGATCACTTAAAATATGATTTAGGATTCTATTTATTACTCATTCACCATTTCTACTTGTGCGATATGTACCAGAACAAAATCAAGAAGGTCAATAAACAACGATTGGATCTTCTGGAGAAGGAATTGAAAGAGCACCAAACCAACCAGAAACTTGTACTATATCGCTTGAGAAAGGTACTGCGTAAGAAGTGCACTGTGCAAGCACACGAGTGCTTCCAGAAGAATTCGTCATGTGACCCGTGTCTTATAAATACCTCCCTTACGGGTATATATAATATGTCGATATGTGTGATCGATTGTGTGCTTCCATTCTACCCTGATACACTACCACCACCACCACCAACCACTCAGGAGCTGCCCAAGTACTTCAAAGATGGCTGCGGACAGGCCGGTGTAGACGCTTACATTCAAATGTGCGTTAACCCACGCCAGCGCTTCGGTCCCATTGATGCGCTGTATTGTGCGGAATTCACGCGGTTGCTACATGCGCAGAGCGCGCCTAACTTCGCGACGCACGCGTATTTGAACCAGATTTTGGCTGATCCCAAAGGCACGATCAGCTCAAGCACACCGAATCAGGTAGGACTATCTCGATGTGGTATAAATATATCTATCAATTAGGAATTTCGAAATCAGATAGGAACATCTCAATCAGGTAGGAATATCCAAATCAGGTAGGCTACATTAGGTAGGATTATCTATCTGCTTGCTTGAGCTTGTTAAATCGATATTATATGGATCTGAATCTGTGCATTGTATTGTGCCTGTGCCCGTGACCGTGACATCCTTGTTTGTTTTGTTTTTTCTTTGTTGCAAGATATAGGTACAATCATGCTCAAATATTACTCTATATTCACGATACTTTCATTGTATCCTGTCCTTAAGTCGACTTTATCAGTAGTTTCCCTATGGTTTCTCGTCACTCAACCCTGCATTCCTTGCGTTATAGGCCCAGCGCTATAGTAGATTTCTCTGGCACACCTTGAAGTGGATGAACCACTGGACCAAGGATAAGGGTACTTTCCTGAAGGAGTGCAGCATGTCTCCTGGTTTTAAATCTGTACGTCTCAATTTCTGAGTACTCTTTTGGGCTCCTCAAGTCTTCGATTCCTAAAGATTTTCTTGGATTTTTCAGCGTCAGCTGTTTTTGGCGCTATATTTTATCAGTGCACAATGGTGTGATTTTGGCTCGGGGCTTTGATATATTAGTAGTATATCGTTGTTCTGAGTTGTGGCCTGCCATTTAGGTTTGTCGCCTCGACTAGAGACTGGGTTTGTAAACTTTATTGTACTTGAACTGGTAGGTCTAGGTACCTTATCCGGTAGTATCACAATAGTCTGTAAATCTACTGTGCTCATATTATTTTGCTTTTTCCTGAGGCGTGACAAATCTCGCAGCGTTATATCGGTCATAAATGACGATCAACATACCCAGGTGGTAAAGTGCACAGAAAACTAAGTAGACCACTCAGGTCTCTGGATATTAAGAAGACTGCAGAACTAGCTCTGTTCATGTATGCAAGATCTCATTGGCAGTTGTATACCTCTCATCTCATCTCAGTTGAAGTCGGAGGGCCGGGTGAGCTTCCTGGAGTTTCAGAACCAGATATATCGCTTACAATCTGAGGTGTTGGCAAACAGTTTCTACGATCTGATCAATTCACCGGACAGGATAGATAACCGAAATGCTCTACAAGTATTGCAAGTAAGTCGTTCCAAACATGTGCGGTATCAAGCGTACATTCATGCTGCCGAGTGCACAAGTATATCATGTGCCTCTGGACTGTGTGTGTTGCGCTGAATCACTACCGGATGGTTGCTTAAGATTCCTGGTGCCTTTTCATTTTTCTTATCCCAATTGTACTGGTGGGAGAGTGACAGATCATTGTCTAACCAGCAACTCTCATGTCTGCACACGCACAAAGGCACTTTGTCCACAAAAACTAGTCCCAGTATTCCCCGTGCTCGCTTCTGTGGGAAAGAAATTGAGCAAATTGGCTGGACAACACAAAGAAATTGACAGTCTCAGCGCTACCGTAACTGCTTATCAGGTTGGTATTTGTGATCGCATCAACGTGCACAATATACTTTGCAGTGTTTCACTGATCGTGGACTGTTAGGTATATACATGTACATGCATGTGTGTGCATTTTATAGATGCGAGTCCATAGTTCGGGCTCTATCGCAGAATACGGTATGTTGACTTTGATGCACATACATGCATGTAGTATTTCATTGGATGGTCACCAAGATGTTTTTGTCCCTTTCCATTCCTGTCAAGATCGCGATTGATCTCTATTTGTTTTGTGCGTGATTACTTTAGTAGTATGAAAAGCTTCTTTTTTTTTTGTGGTCATATCACCTCGGATCGCAATGGTAATACTACTGTTCTATTCTTTCATTTATACACGCGTCATGAATCATTCACTTTCTCATTCATTTACGAACCCATATATCTATCATCGAACCTTGTATAATTAGATTGCGTTCGTGTGTATAATTGATTTTCAATGTAATTATTCATCACCATTAATCGTATACTCCGAAATCTGATCTATATTACCTATCTTTTCGCTGTAATTTTCTCTTTTGGCTTAATTGGTTTTAACTACTTGATATTCTGCGCTGCACAGGGTTTAATTGAGTATCATGAAAGGCAGAAATTCTACATGACCCCAGAAGCTTTGGGCCAACCCGCCAAATCATCTACGTCTACTGATAGTTCTGTCAAAGCGCAGCAGAATACTTCGAAGACTGTCAAGGGGAAGTCCGCCAAAAGCACAACGCAGACAGACTCAAAGACGGGGGCAGTCACAGGCAGCGGGAGTGGGGTAGGCAAGCAACAGAGCAGTGCTGCGAAGCAAGAGGGAAGCACGCCCAAACAACAGGCGACTTCGACCAAAGTGCAAGACATTGATACCACAAGGCATATGGGTGAGAGTATGGCGAAGGGGCAGCAAGGAAGTACAGCGAAGACTACGGGAGGTGGTGCGAAACCAACCGGAACTGGGGGGAAAGCTAAGGCAAACACGGATATGCAGCCCACAATAAAAGTTCAGACACCTCAGCCTGAACCTCCCACCAGTCAGCAGAACTCCGGTCGACAAGCCCAGGACGAGCGCTCACCACGACAACACCAACACACTTCCAATGTATCTACTACGTACAGTGACGACAGAAAGAGCGGGCACAGAAGCCCCCTCCTCAGTGCAGGTGGCCACGACAGAGGGGCAAGTACCCATGAAAGAGTGTCTATCTCACACGAAAGGGGAGGCAGAGGCAGTGCTATGCGTGACCGTGACAGTGGAGGTAGGGGCGAGAAGAGAACGTATGATTCCATCAGTGGGTATGCTGACCATCCCAGCGGCTATTCTGACCTTAATACCAGTCGCGCTGGTTCCATGGGGCGTGGTCCCAGTGCGACTTATGATGGGGACGATGACCGGTACACAGAGCGCCGCGGAGACTCGAGGGCAAGGTCAAGGGGTCCTGATAGGAATGACCATCGCCTGGATGCGGTAGGTGGCGTTGTATGTTTGTTCGAAATTATCAGTTACTACAACTGGTTTGACCGAAAGTAGTAAGTCTCTCTTTGGGAGTATGTTTTGAGGTGTAAATTCCATCTTTTCTACCCAATGTGTTTCGCTCCGTATCTTTGTGTGCCCCCGACAAAACGATTGCTTTGTGTCGCAGTTTTATGACTATTAAGTTGAACATAACTTAATTCGTATCTGTATACTTCGACTGTTAAATACTTCAGAATGGCGGCGGCACACACAGTTACGACGACCGTGGTGATCGCAATCGCGGTAGCAGTCGGGGAAGGGATCGTGACAGATCCACTGACAGGAATAATAGCGCAGCCCCCACCAAGGAGCAACAACAGCAACATCACCATCAACAGCAGCGCATGAACAACAACCATAACAACAACACGCATGCGGGTATGGGCAGGGGGGATGGTAGTGACGGCGGCAGGAAGCGAGACGCGGACGCTATGGGACAGGGCTGGGATCGAAGCCCAAAGAGGAGCAGGCGCACACCAGATAACCTGTTGGACAATGACGGTCGACCCATGCGCGACAGAGGCGGTGGGGGTGGGGGAAATAGGAAAGACCGGTTAGATATGGACAGACATGATGGCCGACAAGGTGCGCCGGGCAGTGGCCATGGCAACACACGCATGGTAATGAACACCGGCAACGAAGGCGGGGCTGGGCGTGGGGGGTTTGGCAATGGTACTGGCGGCAAGCGTAAGGATAAGGATGGGCGGCAGGTAAGTGAATGCGTGTCTATCAAAGAATGGTTTGATGTCGTAGAACACGTCTTATCTGTAAATCATAATTGACACTGGACTATTCTACAAAAACATGAACTCGATATATCCATTCATAGATCTATGAATATGTGCTTGTGTTACAGATGAGTGTATATATATATGTGTGTGTGCGTATGTATGTATATATATGTGCGTGTGTGTGTGATATATATATATGTGTGTGTGTGTTTATATATATATAATTATATATGTGTGTGTGTGTGTGTATGTATCTATATGTACCTATATGTATGTATCTATATATATACATATATATATATATCTGTATATATACATATATATATGTATGTATCTATATATATATATATGTATGTGTGTGTGTATGTATATATATCCATGATATTCATATGTATATGTTTATCTATATATGTATATATATACATGTATGATACAATTATTTAATTAGTTGCATATGTTTATATATATGTGTGTTTGTGTCTGTGTCTGTGTGTGTTTATATGTACGTGCTTATGTATAGGTACGAAGATAGATACATAAACCTATACTCATATATGTACTTGTATATGTATGTATGTGTATGTATGTATATATATATCTGTGTGTGTGTATGTATGTATATGTAAATGTATATGTAAATGCATATGTATACATATTACATTCATACGTATTTGCACCTTCATATATTTTTTTAAACTTGGATGTGTTGATGTGTTTTTAAGTGTACGAGGGTACACCTGTAATACATCCAAATATATTTGTTCACATTCATATTCGTATGCATATACGTACACTTCTACACGATAGATCGTTTCTCACATCTCCTTTCGTGTTTTAGTTGTGCTACATTTTGCCAATACGTCAGAAATTTGTCACATTTGACCCAAACATCATGAGCGAATATTATGGATACTTGAGTAAGTGCTCGTTTGTGGCATTGGTCGCTTTTTCACCATATCCTGTTTCCAATACCTACATTGATCACAGAAAAAACGGAACAAATACAACGATTAAATTATCCCAGCAACTGAGCGAGTACCATAGACGTGGAAAAACTTCGCACTGTGATAACATCAGCGACTGCAAAATAAATAATGTGACTAAAGACTGGTCTGTTTCTTCCAATAACAATGCTACATAAATGTATGCATGTTGTTCGACTCTATGTTGTACTCCATATATCTAGTACAAATCTTGAGATAGAATTTCTAGTTTCAAGGTTTTTTGGTAGGGGCCACCTACTACCATTTTCATAGTGAAACCCCTCTAGTGTGGTGAATTTCCGCGGGAAATCAGTCTTTTTTGTTGCTTTTTATAGCAGTTTTTAACAGACAATTTATTTCTGTAAATCAAGTTTATACCGGATCCCAATTCATATGCGTGCATGGTACAACTTTTTTTCATAACGTCAACTCCTGCTTTTAGATACAATGTCGAGTGATTATCTGACCATGAGGTTTCCGTTTTATAAATCAGAAACCTGAAATATCTACATAAATCCACCGGCAGTTTTTGTGAAATGGCGACCAGAACATCTTCTGCCCTAGAGTAAGATCAATGCAACGTTCGTTATGCCTCTACTATCTCAAAAGGACTAATATTGCTTGCGTATGCCAGAAGCATATCAGTCTCATCATGGTGTATTGTGCAAGTTAAAATAATGTGCACATAGACAGAAATAGGTATATTTTTCATATGTATAGATATTATTTGTGATACATATTTCTCGATTATCATAAAACTTTACAATTTCTGTTTACAGGACAGAGTAAAATACGCGTGAAATGAGCTAATTGAAGTTGCCTGTCTACGTGAAGTCGTAAATAGCCGACAAATTTAATAACTTGTACTGCTAATTAAATAATTTCGAACCTCAGTATATGGTCAAATACAATACGAAATCCAGAAAAGTACTCTAAGTATACTACAGAACTTGCCTGAATCAACAAAATGCCGAAGCTATTACTAGTTCACCAATGACAGCCTAGTACAAGTGAGTAAAGCATACGAAGCTTTATATTGCCGAATAAAAAAACATAATTATTCCAATAGGAAAGGGATTCCCCCGTCATTTACTAATCAGAACAGAAGTAAGCATGTCACTATAGCTCAAATGCCTTGAGTAGACAGAACAATAAAGCATTGTTTAAAAGCTCTTACAATTGACAGTCTAACAGACCTCTTCACCCAACAAGCTTCGTATACGGAAATCAGACTGGCAACTAGCGCGACTCGGGTCCCATAACCTAAACATGCGAAAGTGCGGTGCAGGTACAGCGTCTCTCAACTCTTTTTATTTTAAAGGACAAAATATCCAGAAAGTGGTTCAGTATATACAAAATACACTTTTAGGTTGATCCGAAATACATATTCCATTCATGAGATCCTTATATTTCAATACTTAACCCCTTCTATAGCGTCAGTACGCACCCAAATGAACCATTAGTAGTTAATCAATATGTATAGCTGTCATCTTATGCAACCAATATGATGGAATCGTATATCGCGATGCTTCGGTTTATAAGTAGATCAGTCGCACCGAAAATATATACGGACGATAAGTACCATATCAATTATGCTGATTTCGCTATTAGATCCGTGGTCTAGCCGTATGCAGTGTGCCTCCCGATGTATTTGTATCTTTAGATTAATCTTGAGGGTGATATAAAAAATAAACCGATGAATAATATATCTTGCTTTTGAAAAGCACATCTGTAGCATCTGGTTGTTACGTTGGATAGACCCACCTATAGAACACTCATGTGTCTGGACGTCACTTAAACGTCAGCTAGACTGTTAAGTGTGCGTCCGCAAATAGTGATCTTCTACTTTCCGAAGGTCTTGTTTTGAGACTTGGAAGAAGGCCTTAGCCGCCGTTCTGTTTACATGTCTGATTGGAAGCGTGTCATGAGCTTCTCCAGTCGCACTTCTCCAGTTTGGCTGACATTGATAACTATTGTTTTGTACTGACAAGCTAGTGATTCTTGAATACGATAAATTAATATATTGATATTTGTACCTGTATGTATTTATTTCTTGAGAAATATCTTCTTTTTTTTCTTCGTTATATTGATTTGAATATCAATATATGTTTATTGGAGATATGCATGCATGCATACTTCGTTTACACAACCGAAGTAGCTGGCGACAACACGTAAGCTGAATCAAATCGAACTGGTGGTACAGGGGGTCAGTGACGCAGAGGAGAGCGTAGAACTGTTTAAGTCACACTAGTAATATGTTTTGTTATGGTGGTGTGCAATCTACTCGTGTAGAATCACCTCAACATGCCATATGGTGTAGTGGTCAAGTATGCACAAACTACAGAAGAAAAACGACAGAACGAAGGTGAACGCATATCTAAGCAGAACCACTAACATCATGTCAGTGTCCGAGGACTTCGCATGAACATTAAATAGCATGCTAAACAATGTATGAGTATCCTACTAAGACTAATCTACACCAAGCGCTACCACCATCCCTCGGGATTGCCTGTTGGACAATGGATGATCCCGCTTCGCGGGGTCCTGTACATCCCCTCTGGGGAGTGTTCCTTCTGGTTAATTCTCTCTGGTAATAGGATCGGTACGGTAGATAACTCGATAAACTTCCCACCTGATTGGTATGATCGCAAGATTAGAAGTGGCACGGCCAACTGTCTTGTGTTTGCCTGATATAATAAATTGTATTTCCTCTATTGCATTATAAGTATGATTAAGAGTGCCCACAGGTATATTCTCTCTCCCAATTTTTATTTAACTTGAGATTTTTTATAGATTTACGGTCTACTTGTGTTCTCGAACCAATTTTATCTATTTCCGACTGTAGCCTGGGCAATGCGGTCGCTACCGTGCTAATCGTGCCCGGTGACCGCCCAAGCGTCAAATTTCAACATTCTTGCCGCCATGACGGGCTGTATTATGATAACTGTTGAGGGTTTTCACGAGACACGCGTGTTTCGTGGCCATGTGCTCCCTCAGCATATATCAGCTCTTTTAGACATTGGGGTATCGGTACCCCATTGGAAAACCCATTTGCCACACTCAATATTGGTTGCCTAATCGAGTCGTCGGAATCCTTCTTTCCCATATCTTCATAACATTTCATACATACATCTATGACTAGCTATTATTCTATTTACACTCTCGTTAGTTAGTAAGGAGTAGAGTATGTATATGTATATCCATTTTTGTATCTAGAGCTATAATATTTTATAAGAGTATAGAATCTAGAATATAGACATCTATCACCCTTCTATCCTCCTGCTCAAAATACACTAGATGGATATACCTCCTACTGATCTACCTTTTTATAAGCTATACATTATCTTACCCCCTCTAGACCTTACTCCTACTCTCCTGTCTAGCTGGTAACTGACTACCATCTGATGTGATTTAAGATACTGCCTTCCCTGGGTGATAGACTACGATCCCATCTCACCTTAGACGGATGTCTATCTATCTATTTAGCCTAGACCTGGTATACTTCGGCACCTCAGGGTTAACCCCAGAAATGTGCGGTCTCTTGGAGTGCTCCTACCATCCCTTCGGATGCATCTGTTCTACTATACCAATTTATATCCGACAGCACTTTTACCCACATACTCTTACCTTCTTCCCATATATATAACTCATAAATTATGGTCCTTTAGAATTGCGCTTGCGGAGTTTACACTCGGAGTATCCTGCGGGAAAATTAGTTGTCTGCTGTTATATATACAAGCAGGCATGTGGATTCCTCGGCTGCTTGGCCACCATTTAAGAATCAACAATGAGTAAATCACGAAATAAAAAGACCACCAGATAAGTAGACCAATAAATCAGTAAATTGAACTTTAAAATGAATAAGTCAATCAGAAAATTATCAAATTATGAACAAATACAATAATAAATTGGCGGAGTTATCAAACCGACAACCCAAAAGACGAAATCAGATTATGATTATCAGGTGGAATATATTATATCGACCTGGAAGTAGAGGTATCGTAGAGATATCTGTTAACGAGAGAATCGAAGATGCAGAAGAGTCATGAGACCCTCCACCATGGTAGTATATTTATATATATTACAGATAGTTTGATGAGAGCTCCTCCCAGTCCCCAAATAAAGTACCAGCCTTACTTGAGGTGCTCCAGGTGAAAGATAGACAGGGTATTTATATGAAACAAGTTTACATTATATCTGGAGATACAGGTAGGCCATATTTACTTGGTGCTTTGCGTGTTGATCTTAGTATTCATTCTACTAAAAGATTCTGCTTATCACGCAAACAAAAACCTACAAAGATATGTATATTGAACTGCTTTACTCACGTTCCGATATTTCTTTACTCAACTACAAAATCAAATGCCTAATCAAAAGCACAACGAACAGTTTGACTTTCTATACTAGCTACTTCAATAGGCCGTACCTTATAGCCCTGAAATATTTGTTATTTTCAGTATTTTGCAAATAGTCTTTCATTTTTATCATACTGGTTAGTGTTGGAGCAATTGACATTGATTGCAATAACAGATGCAGGCTGCAAAGCAAACCAAATAGTTCAAGAATATGAATGAGTTGACTGTCAAACATTGAATAGGAGCTGCACGTTTACAAAGACAAAATCAGAATGTCTGTATTTTTATAGATTGTTGATGTTGCACCACATTACATGCAATTATACCCATATACTTGTTCATTTCAATTCTTTACAGAAACCAATCACCGCACAGACAACGCCAACAAATTAACTTTCGCATTTCAAACACATTCAAGTTGGTGCAAGGATACTTTGTAGGTGGGTTCGGTAATGTCTTCAACAGTGGTGCTTTCGATAGTCTCCAAGTAAGACATCGCATGGAATACATAACCAGTCGGTTTGTTAATGATGCCATCTTCTATATCAACGTATTGAATAAGCTGCTTGGGAAAGTCTGGACTGGAAGTAAGCTCTATCAGCGATTCACTTGCGTAGGTGAACGTATGTCCATCTTCAGTAGAGCCCATTCCAGACTTTTCCTTTGGTTGTCCGCCTAGAAGACACTTGATGTAGCCTCTGTGTTATGCGCAAAGCTGATACATAATAAAGATATATTTGTCCATCTATAATAGTACAAATGGAAATACTCTAAATGTACATGGCCTACATGGGAAAGTCACTAAATGTACATACAGATTTACTGGTACGTTTTCTAATTGCCCAATTAAAATAGCAAAATGTGATTTTCCTTTCTCAAACTTCTCAACCAAAAAATAAAAAAAGTACATTCAGAGACTTTTTTATGTACATTTAGAGACTTTCCAGTGCTGTAATTTTTTTTTATTACGCAAAAAAAATTTAAAAGATTCTAGATTCACCAGGTTCAAAATGCCGGCGAGTGTGCCAACTGACACCCGACTCACACATCTGCAAAATCTTGTATGGATGTATATAACAAAAATAAAAACACATGCTATGTATGTAAAAAGTCCAAGAAATGCACACAGCTTCAGCACGTTAATATCATGTTCTGTGCTTTATCTAACGATACTCTTAACTTTATTTGCTACAGGGATGAGACACACGATCTGAGAACAATGCCTGTCGAATTTAGTGAGAGCACAACGACAGCAAATTGTATCATATCGAAGTGTGGATTAAACATGTGGATATGAAGGTAAGTGTTTGTGTGTGTGTGTGTGTGTGTGTGCGTTTGTGCAATAGCATGTTAAACTATATTCGTAAATATAATAAAGTAATGTACAAATAGTTACGAGCGTCCATCGGTTTTGTAACTGAGAATCGGTGTACGTAACACCAACGTCATCATCAGCTTCAACACAACTGTTTCAGTATTTTTTCCAACGAAAGTCCACCCACTCTTTTGGAGGTTTTTACATTTACCATCAGATCCGATGGGTACCCCTTGTCCATTCTTTATACACTGAAGGTATGACTCGATGATGAATAAATCACGTTGTCCTCCATTGTATTCCCAGTCTGCACGGGGCTTTCTGACATCAACGTCCCTCACAACGGGCTTCTTGTTTTTAAGGCAATATAAGGCTTCTTGTCCTTTGGGACAGTAGAAGGCTTCTGCAGCTCTATCGATGTAGGTAGCCTCGATAGTATTTGATCATTCGGGCTTGGTAACGCAATAGGAGGTGATTTGACAATTGATCCGTCTTCCTCACCCACTTCCGACCCATAGAGTTCGTGTTCCTCTGCATCGTCATCTTGAGACTTGGCACTATTACACTCCCTTTCATAACTTGCTAGAAAGTCCATAGCACTGTTGCTAGATCAATACTCAGTAGGTAATACATGCAATGTGCTAGATGCTGTTGCTGCTTTCAAATGCTGTGGGTAAATAGATTGCTGATGGTCAATTATATAGTTGCCATTGGGGTGTGGTGGGACTGATGGCACAGTCGTGTTCAATGTCGAGAATGGGTGCGAGTTACTCATGGCTGGCGTAGAAAGAACTAGAACACCAGTATAAAATACAATATATATAGTATACACACTTTTGTTTACATACACAATAATGTGACAACAACCGTCTTTACTTTGTATTTTGTTTGGGCGGTGTCAACGATCTCCATTTCTGGGTTTGGCGGTTTCGTGTTCTGAAAAAGAGCATTTTTGTTGCCGTAATAAAACCGTATTGTGGGCCGTTTCAAATAATGACCATTAATTTGGGCATACAAGGAACTCAAAATTTTCAGATGGCACTACCCATGCCTGGGAAATTATATTCGAACTGGGAAAATAGAAATCAGGGCAATAATGCTCATATTGAGTTGCACAACAGGGCCTAAATACATCACTGAACGGCAGACACAGCGTAAACTTGTTGATTTCTCTCCAAATGTGTCTTTTCCCACCGTATCTCACGACAGGCAACTCTCGACGCTCGCTCAACACCACTCAGATAGGGAAGCTAGTGCCCATCTGGACGACCCACGCCACGATTTCGGCTATGAGCCTAATCTGGCAGCTTTTGCTGCCCGGATCCTACAAACTACACACCACAAACCGACAACTCAGATGTCGGCATCGACCTTTCCGACGAATCCAGTACCACTATCTAACCTTCTGTACGCACTATACAAGCCACAATTACCACAGAATGCACCTTGATCGAAGCTAGCGTTGCCATTGGTCATGCCTTCCCTAAAAGTATCAAACAGGCGGTACTCCCGGATGAATTTCATGGCTGTGGTCACACAAGTCCGTACTGGCACAAAATTTATACACTATAAGTACGTTTTGACTCGGAAGCATCATGGAAAGGCTGTCCCGACCCTTTTGAAGGATAGGATGGTCGCGAATGGCGACCAACAGGTGGAAGGTGATATTTTATGATACTTGCTCCAAAGCCGCCACTTCGACTACACAACGGGCTTTTCTAGCACAGACTGCCTTTTGTGATCTGGACGTCTTCCAGTATGACGTCGATACTGCATAGCTAAGTTCCTACCTCGATACCCCGGTTTACATGTATCCGCCTAATGGCGCGGTCGGACGGTAATTTTATTCCCCTAACACTATCCACCAGCTCAACCGCGGTCTTTACAGATTGAAACAATCCTTATGGAACATCGAGATAGCAAAATAATCGAAGACCACTTGATTTCATTCTAACGATGCTGTTGAATGCATCTGGTTCCATCCTGTCCACTTCGTCATTACCGTAATCTATGTCGACGAGGTTGTTCCAGCTATCCCGCCATGCCTCTGGCAAAGAAGTATGGCTCGTTTTTAATTTATTGCGCTACCATTCTATGAAAAACCTTGGACCGGTGCGCCACCTCGTTGGACTACGAATTCACCAACATCTTGATCGCATTGTGATTGATCAACAAGCTCTCATGTTAAATATATGCTCATCTCCTTACAACTCACCGATGCTGTTCCAACGAATACACCTGGCACAACTCAACACTCGCAGACTCAACCAACGCACCTTATACGGGGCGCGACTTGAGCAAATTACTAAGTGTACTCGGATTCGCCGCTAACCGTATCAGGATCGACATTACCGCCACTGCTAATCAACTTGCTGCCTTTGAATCTAGCCCTACCATCGACCACGTAATTGCTCTCATTTTAATACATACACGTTACCAAGGACCTTAAAGATAAATTACCGTCGCAAAGCACCTGGCGAAAAACTTGACTTCGCTATTGAAGCCTCCACCGACTCTGATTGGGCACGTGACCACTCTAATCGCAGATCACAAGACTAGTTCTGTTATTTGTTCAACAATGCACCCATATACTGGAAAAGCGCCAAATAGACAACAGTCGCTGTCGGTTCTACAGAGGCGGAATACGTGGCTGCCTCTGAGACCGTTCGCCACATTGCTTGGGTCAGAAACATACTTCATGCCATTGGCTACGCACTACATTTACCAATACATTTACACTGTGACAATCAGAGTGCCATCAAGGTCGCTCATAGCACTGGAACTCCTAAGGATTGAAATATATAGACATACGAACACAATACATACCTGGTTGTGTGCGCAAGGCTCAAATTAACATATTCTACATCACTGCCAACGATAATTTGGCAGACTTGCTTACCAAAAACCTGCCAACGAACACTTATGTTTACGATTCAGGGAGGGGTTTGGGCTCTACCCAGGATTGAGAATCCTAAATATGGATAAACAAATTGTTAAAAATCACATTTTGAAGTATTGGACTCAGACTTAGTTCGTTGAGAAATTGATGTTCTATGTGCGTTTTCGTATGTCGTGTTTACGAACAGGTTGTGCGTGCCGATTGCGTTTAACCGATTGAATGTATGATCATGAATGTATGATTATGTGACATGTGAATATGCCACCTTGGTCGTTTTGTTTGAGTGATTATTGTTGAGTTATTGAACTTGGAAAATTAAGTATGATTGTAAATATTGTGTTTGTGTTTTCAGAGATGGAATCTAAAAATAGGTCACGCGCATCCGTTGGAATCTCTTTGACAGAAGAATCATTCGAGCTGAGAGGGCCGTCCAATTTTGACGAGAAATAGTATAAATATAGAGTAAAAATGAAAATAAAGATCAATTTCACAAGAGTTCAAAAATTCACACTAATTTTATAAATCGCCACAGGACACGTGTGAGTATGATGGGCCGACTATGGCCACCAGTAAGTATAGTATAGCCAAGTGAGTTTGCCCACTGCCGTAGAGGTCGAGGTCGTTTTCCGAATGATGTATGGTTGATTGTTGAAGATGTCCGAGTGTAGATATTGATTGGCTTCTGGGGATGTATAAAATTCAGTCATGTTAAGTTCAAATCCAAAATCCTGAGTGATGCCAGAAGGTGGTGTGGGCGATAGCAACAGAGGTATAGGGGATGGCGCTGATGTAGCAGGATCGGTTGGAGGTGAGATAAAAGAAGGTGGAGGTGGGTTAGAAGAAGGTGAAGATGGGTTAGAAGAGGGTGGTTGACGTGAAGGGATCGCTACGGGAAGAAGGATATGCTCTGGCAGTGGTGGGATTAGTTCAGAGTTCATGGTTGGAGTGGGGGCCGGAGAGATTGGCTGTGATATCATAATTGGAGTGGGGGCCGGATGTACAATAACAATGGGAAGAGGTGGTAGGGGCCGGGGGATGTGGTGGATGGTTGTATTTTGTTGCCACAGGAGGTGATGGGAGGTCCATGTGGAGGATCAAGTGGGATCTCAATGGCCATATGGTGCGAGGCAGTGGCGCAGTCTATTTGAATAATTCAAGTAGATAGGTGGGCACAATGGGTGGCATGTTTGTCATTGGATGTCGACTGAGGGCCTTCGGCAGTAAAGTAATTAATGCACGTCGCGGCTATATAGTGCTGAGTAGCAAAGCTTTGTATTTAAATACGTATTCAATACCGTTAAGGGTGTAGACAAGTAGATTTCAAAACCACACAGGTGAATGTGTGTGTGTTTGGAGTGTGGGCCAGAAGATAATGAATATATCTTGGCCAGAAGATATATATATCTTGGCCAGAAGATATATATATCTTATAGGAAACAGTACATTCGAGATGCATATATGATGGCTATCTCGCTATCTCCTGCATTCTATGCTGAATATGGAGGGGGAAGAAAAGACGGGAGTTCTTGGAGAGTGCTTGGTTTGGCCACATGCCTGTTTTGAGGAGTTGGCAACGAACCATGTTGTTAAACGTCTCGTGCTGGCGCTCAATAGTAGGGTTCATTTGGGGTGTGTGAGGGGACATCGAATTCGATGCTGAGGGAGGGACATGAGTGAACCCTTGTTACCTCGGACGATTGTGCTCTTGATAACTGAGTCCCGGTCAGAAGTTTGTGTATGCGGTTTGCGATGTTTTGATATATGGGTAAGGAATTCTCATATTTGTTGCTTAATGGACACCTTTTTCTGGTGGTTCTTGTGAATGCCGAAGGTTGACCCCTTATCGACCTTGTTGAGTGCGTATTTGTTGTTGTCTCGGTCTGAACGTACCGGGGCCTGTAGATCAACACAATATTTCTCACCAGAGAGTGAATTGTGTCGGTAGATGTGTGGGATACGCCAGTTTTGCCTCCATACAGACCAGGCAGTGTTTTTCAATATCGGGGTTGGCTCGGGCATGAATGATGTGGCCACTAAGGCGGGGGAGTGCTGGACGGCGGTGTGGAGGGCTCCAACAAGCGCTACAGTAGTGTAGATCCCTGGATATAATTTACAGATTCGCATGAAACGTGCAAGTCGTTAGAAGTGGCAGAGACTGGGCATGGAAAATTGAGATTACTAGTACATTTACTACTCACGACTGCTAGTTGGTGCTGTTGATTGCCATTTGTATATGTCAGTAGTGTTGTTTGACAATCGCGAGCAGTGTACTGTTTGTCGTCGTCGCACTTCCACATGTTATAGTTCATCGGCCTGAATGATGGTGATGTGTGGACCAGTGCACATGACATTGAAATGTGGGTTGATTGTTGGTTGTTGGTGCTGTGAACATGGTATTGACAAACTTAATTAGAGCGTCGAATTTAGCATCGATAATTGTAGTCGGAGGTAGAGAGATCATGTTAACTCTAGGAGGACGAATGTTATTTATTGTTTCCCGTAATTCAACTTAATTGTCATACGTCTTGAATGGAGATTGCGCGGTGTGTAGTGCCGTAGAAGGTAAACATGTTGTTGGTGGCTGAAGGGTCGATGATTTAAAGGGCGGTAATCGGTGAGTAGATCTCGGGCGCTATAGGTAGAGAAGGCGGCGGTCCGTGGGGCAATCAGCGGATAGACGACTCTTGTGAGTATATATAGTGAGTAGCATATTTTAATCTGTAGGAAAGAGCTGCGTCCTGGATTATATCGCCCATAACCTATTAATTATTTATATAATGGATGGAATGTTTATACTATACTACACTTGCGTAAAAACTTGGGTTAAATTGAGAGTGGAATTATTTACACATGGGAATATTGGTTCAGCAGCTGGGTCCCGAGAAAAAACATGGTTGGGTTGCTTAATTTTGTCTCACGAACTTTATTTTTATGTTTAGGACTTGTTTAAGCGTGTAGCTTATAGTACTTTTTAAGTGAGTATGTAGATATTTGATTAGTACTATGCATATTGTGCAGAATGAACACATATATCATATATTAGAACTATGCATATTGTGCAGAATGAACTCATATGTCATATAGCGTAACGCATATGTTGAGAAACCTAATGTAAGCCGAGATATTGAGAATGTAAACACTTATTTGTTACTGGGCTTATTCCTCCGCAGGGGTTATACGTGTCACGGGACGCATATGTGAAATTTGAAACTTATGAATTTATGAATTACATACTGGGGAGTGGGGTAAAAACTATGAAATTGTAATTTGGCGATTTGAACCAATAAGAAATGAGCATGGTCGTAGCAAATGGAATTAGACTTTAAAAGATTTTGAGTGACCAAAATTATTGTAGCAAACGGAAAGAAATTGGTGTAAATACCAAATGGATTAGCAAATATAACTGACTATCTTTTTATATACTTCCGCAGGGCTGCTTTAAAACACGCCCGCTCCAGCACAAACAAAACAATCAAATCGCTAACTCGGCAGACCCCGCAACTCGCACTCGAGGAAGACCCCCGCCTGACGACATAATCATACGCATCAACACGACGCCACCACCATTACCCGGAACCACGAACACTAACAGCAAGTAAAGGTGGAACTATCGAACTGTTATATAGGATATGCGCAGCAATCCACATCAACCCATATATAAATCCATCAAAAGGCTCTCCGTGGCAATGATGCTGATCTGTGGCCCGAAGTGTACGAGGCTAATAGAACCCGCCATGGTAAATACACGCACACCAAGTAGCCAGTGCACGGATTTCCTAAATCTTTGCAACTAAACTCGTTCTGGAGTAGTGTTTTGAAGTGTTGGACATCGCTTTCCTGTCTACCGCATACAATAATGTCATCAATGTATATTAAAACAACACAGGGGACCAAGGTACTTTGTTTGAACCCATGCCGAGAAGCTTGTATTTGATTAAGGCATGCCAAAGCCGTCCGGACTGTTTTAAGCCATAGTGGCTTTTCTTCAAGGCCAATATTGATTCATCTGGGAGGCCAACGACGCTAGAACCTTTCGGTGGAGGCATATAACCGGGCTCGTCGAGGTCAACATACAGGTAAACAGTATCAACGTCCATCTGTTCAACATGCCACTCTTGTGCGGCAGACACTACTAATACAGTCCGGAGTGCTTCGTGGGAATATGTAGGGGCAAACGTTCCATCGCAGTTAATGCCCTGGGTTTGGATTATGTGTCTATAAAGGAACGTCAGTACATTCTGAATTATGAGTCTATGCTATAAAAGAATGTCAGTACATTCTGAATCATGTGTCTATAAAAGGATGTCTTTACATTCTGAATTATGTGTCTATAAAAGTGTGTCTATAAAAGGATGTCAGTAAGTTCAGGATTATGTGCCTATAGAAGGACGTCAGTACATTCTGAATTATGTGTCTGTAAAAGGATGTCAGTACATTCTGAATTTTGTGTCTATGAAAGGATGTCAGTACATTCTGAACTATGTGTCTATAAAGGATGTCAGTATATTCTGAATTATGTGTATAAAGGGAAGTCAGTACTTTCTTAATGACATGTAGAGATGCTAATTTCTTTTCGGGCGCAGTGTTCCTACTCTTGCATCTGCTTTTTGCGCTAATTGTATTCACTCCGAATTTGCGAGTCGATTTTGGATGCGGTGCATACTTGGCAGAGTAACTAGTTACATACACATACTTTGCAAGGTACGTAGTTGCCTACACTTGCTTCGTATGGCAAGTAGCGATACGAACGTGCACAAACCAACGGTGGCCTGTTGCGAGGTCGTCTTGCTACTCTGTCGGCATATATTCACACAGCTTTTACGTAACATCTATAGCATAGCTACTATATTCAATAGTGCGGCAGACGATTCCAAATGTTCTGAAGGAGATCATAAACTAATCACTTGATGGTCAGCGATTGTGACAGAGAATGTCATCGGTAAGCGTGGTCATATCGGTGGCAGTAAAGCCAGAATTTTCAATGTCGGTTGACCAGTGTACATGACTGGTAGCCGGACAAGTGGGATTGTTGATACAGTTGAGCTGATCGGCGATGGCAGCATTATGTTCATTCATTTGTCGGGCACGCGTACGAGTCATATACGCATCTTATATGGTAAGTCAGGTTTATTTAGGATGCCAGTGTTGAAACGGGGTTGCAAGATTAACCCACGAAGCTTTCGTGACGTTGGATGGTGTCTTACATAGTATTAGTCAGTGTAGTTGGTGAGCAAACAGGACCTGATCGGGTATGTGGCGCGTCGGCGTTGGGTGGGTGCTGGTTAGTGACAATGGGGCAGTCCTCCCTTGAAGCACTAGAGTTTATAGTATGATCAGATATATTGTGCGATAACTCCCTTGAATCCAGTGCTGAATACGTGTTTGCAGGACGGAGAGCTGAGCCGGGGGAAGGACAAGTGCCAGATGCCGGCGGAAGCTCCTCTGGAGTGACGTTTCGACTGATATCGTTAGGAACAGGGGAGTGGAAGGTAGGGGTGAGTCGTTGGAAGGTAAGATTGTGTGGCAGTGAGTGCCAGTGTTAGTTCCCGTATAGTTGGTATGTCGTGCCGCAGTGTGGTGAAGCGAGGGAGGGGTGCAGTCATAACCTTAGTCCAAGTAGCAAAGACACGTTCGTTGAACTTGATATCTTTACAATGACATATGTGGCCTGTGCTTAAAATTCTACATTCATAATAATATTTAGAGTCGATGTCGTGCCCCAGGGTTTTAGGGTTTAGGGTTTAGGGTTGGCTTGGGCCACATCTCGGCAGGCTGACCGGAATGGTCAAGAAAGCCACGCATGAAGTCCGCGATAATACCATTCATACGCTCCACTAATCCATGAGGTGCTGGTGAGTCAGTAGATGTGTAAAGGACTTTGACGTGTTCAACGGTATTGATGGCTTTAAATTCGTGAAAAACGAATTCCCCACCGTAATCGCACTTTAACTCCTCAAGTTTTGCAAGTTTATCTTTTCCTAGCCAAGTGTAAAACAGGTCAAGAGTATGAGCAGCCTCGTCCTTGGACTGTAGTGGATAAGAGAAGATCATGGTACTGTTGGTGTCAACGTATTTGATGATAGAAGTGCAGCCGGTTGCTGAGGGTGTCAGGCCTGTTTCTTGGACAACGTAAATACAATACCCGGCGGCGAGCGAGTCGCAAGATCTTTGAGCTTGTTCGAAATGGGCCGACGACGCATCTTGCAGGATACACAGGCAGTGTGAGGAAGTACATCTTCCTGGGCTGTGAGCAGATTAGCTGTCAGAGGTATGGCGTGTTTGGCGTTGCCTAAACGGGCAACACAAATGTATCTCCACTTTGGTGAGCCAACCACTTCAGAGCCGTTGCGAAGAAATGTAGTGGAAGTCGTGCGGACAACCTCCACATGTGAATGCAACTGTTTGAGTGTTTGTTGTGGGGAGCCAGAGGGAAGACGACAGCATTTTCCGTGTCCAGTTTGTTGAGCGTGCCAGACCAGTGCTTGTTCAATGGTATGTTAGTGTGGAGATTGACTTGCTTCTGATTCCAGGACTGGGTATAAGCATCATGAAGTGGTTCACCCGGTTCCAAACTGCAATAGATAGCTAACTTGTGCATTGTTTGTACAGGCAAATAAATCGATATTTACGATCCCGAAAGGCTCAACGACGTGTTTCTGGAAGAGTTCAAGATTTAACTTTCAATTGTCTATGTTTTCGCTCTTAGCGACATAAACATCAATTTTTTGCGAAAGGGTTGGCCGCGTTTTGCGTGGATAAGTGTGACCGAGAACGTTGTGCCAATCCGTGAGGGTGCGAGTGGGACAGGTGACTATTTTGTATTGACCGCTCACGTCTGGTATAGTATGTGTCGGGAATATTGGAATCCTTGGGAATATGCTGGTTAAGTTCTGTAGGACGATAGATGTCCGGAGAAGCATTCGTCTCAGTGTCCTTGGTAATATTCGTATTTGGATCGTAGTGGGTGCTGATATAGCAGCGATGAACCCCGTGGTTTTACTTGGACATGCAAGCTGTGTTGTTGTGACCTCCTCTGTCTCATTGGGAGCAAGAAAGTGTAGAACGATCAATAGGGCATTTATTTATTACCTTTATGATCGGCTGAACCAACGACGGCAGATTGAATCCGGAGAAGCATTCGTCTCAGTGTCCTTGGTAATATTCGTATTTGGATCGTAGTGGGTGCTGATATAGCAGCGATGAACCCCGTGGTTTTACTTGGACATGCAAGCTGTGTTGTTGTGACCTCCTCTGTCTCATTGGGAGCAAGAAAGTGTAGAACGATCAATAGGGCGTTTATTTATTACCTTTATGATCGGCTGAACCACAACGACGGCAGATTGAATCGATTTCTAAAACCTTAAAACCCTAAAATCGGTAAATCAGGACACCCGAAAATGCTGTGTTCGGATTTGCCACAGAGAGGACAATTAGGGCGGTCGCGGCGTTTGATTGGAAGTATTCTGTTGACCATGGCTGCATCTTTGTTGACGAATGCGTGTTACTGCAATCAGTAGGGGGTTTTATGGCAATAAGACCGAAGACTGGTGGCAAAGAATCAAGTTGGTTGTCACCGGTAAATCTGAGCACCTTTTTATAGACTTCGTCGATCATGAGGGCATCCAGATCATGATCAAATATGTCTGCACGAAGTAATTTGTCCCTTTTGGTGCGAAAGTGTACTTCTTTGACAGGAAAACACAACAGGAAGTTCGGCAAGAAGGGTCAGGAAGGTATACTGTGTTGACAAGGGTCAACGTCAATGATTCTGAGAGTGACGACTATATTATTGAAGATGATACAGGCGCCAGTGATGACAACATGGATATTGTTTCAGCGTCAGAGACAGACACGGATAGTGATGACGCAGGTCCTGCGGATGGTGCTGTCGGCGATCATGCTAATATGGACGAATCAGAAACATCATCGGATGAGGGTGATGTATCGGGACCAGGTGAACACCCTGGCTATGCTCGCCCAGTCAATCACTAGAAACGTGATTTGGCTGATAAACAGACCCCTACGAGAGGTGGTTGGCTATTGAAAACCCGTGTAGATCGCACACGCGACCGAGAAAATGATATGATGTCTCCAAGGATCAGTTCTAAGGCTCGTACGGATCTAGACTCAGCGAGAAAACGTGAACGTCAATCAAGTGGCACTCTACATTGTCAACCCTCCAGGGTCCGGCGGGATCGTAAGCGAGACCATGGTGAATCTAATTTTGGTTTTCTAGCTGATGATGAGGAGAGCTTCCGCGAAGTGATGAGAGATGAACTACGCTCAATGTTGAAGATGAAGGTTTGGAAATTGCAGTAGCGCCGCACCGCCCAGACGAAGCCTTTGGGACTCAAGTGAGCCTTTGGGACTCAAGTGGATTCTCACTCTCAAGCGTGATGAAATTGGAGCAGTTGTGCGACATAAAGCACGCCTGTGCGCGAAAGGATTTGCACAACAGTATGGTCGTGATTTTGTGGAGACATCATCATCAGTGGTCACGAAGGAAACAGTGTGTGCATGTTTGGCTATCACTGCATCTGAGGACTTAGTGTATTGTAGTTCGATGACAAGACCGCATTCTTGCATGGCAATCTGGAAGAATATGTCCTGCACGGAGATTCCCACAGATTTCGTGGAGTTAGTAGGCTATTTGCTTTGTGA